AGTTTCCCATCCCCAAGGGCCAATGAAGATGAAATAGTGGTTCTTAAAGCAGATAAAGGCAACACCACTGTCATTATGAATAAATCTGAGTATTTAGAGAAATCTAAAAATATGCTTAGTGATCAAGTGACATATAAAATGCTTAAAAAAGACCCGACCATCACAATTCAAAATAAAAATAATAAAATGATTGACTCTCTCATTAAAGAGGGGTTTATTGAAAACGAACGGGGTAAGAAATTGAAAACAAATGCTGCCACTGCCCCTAAAATTTATTTTCAACCAAAGATACACAAGAATAATAACCCTTTAAGACCAATAGTATCGTTCGTGGGATCACCACTATATAATCTCACTGCCTTTCTGGCGAGTATTTTGAATGATTTATTTGTTAAGGACGAAACTTATGTCAGAAATTCCTTTGATTTTGTAGAAAACATTAAGAGTATCAAGTTACCAATAAACTACCAGGTTATATCTCTGGATGTAATTTCATTATTTACAAACATCCCTACAGATGTAGTAATTAACATTGTTAGTAAAAAATGGCATCTCATAGAAAACAAAGTCAAAATTCCTCTACGAACGTTCATAGACCTGTTGATTTTCGTTTTTGACAACAGTTATTTCCAGTATCAGGATGAATTTTTCAAACAAATTTATGGTCTGGGGATGGGAAACTGTTTATCGCCAATTTGTTCTGATTTGGTGATGCAAGATTTACAGGAATGTTGCATAAAAAAACTCCCATTTCAACTTCCGTTCTATAAACGTTATGTTGATGATATCCTAACATCGATCCCTGAACATCAAGAAGCAACCATACTTAATATTTTTAATAGTTATCATCCCAGAATTCAATTTACCATCGAGAAAGAAAACCAACAAAGTATAGCTTTCCTAGATGTACTAATATTAAGATATGGAGAGAACATAGAGACTGATTGGTTTCACAAACCTAGTTTTTCCGAAAGATTTTTAAATTATTGGTCTGAACACCCTCTTCAACAAAAAATTAATATTATTAATAATTTGAAAACTAGAGCTCTCGCACTGTCTTCTGGAAAATTTCATAGTAAGAACCTGAAGTACATAGAAAGGATGTTATTGAATAATAATTATTCATTATCTCTAATAAGAAAAATTCTAAAAAAAACAAATTCAAAAAAAAAAAATAACAAAACAAAGTGATCAGAAACTTTTTTGCAAAATCCCCTATATTGGAAAGCTTTCCGAACGAATAAAAAGAACATTCAAGGGCCATAAATCTAAGAAAGAAGAAAAAGTCGAAATCACCTTTAAGTGCCAAAATACCATAAAAAGGCATTTTTTCTCGAAAACCAAATCAAAGACTAAAAAGGAATTAAAATCAAATTTGGTGTACAATATTCCTTGCTCTCAATGTAATAAAAACTATATCGGACAGACTGGTAGATATTTGAAACAAAGACTGAAGGAACACCAAAATGACCAAAAAAACTTTCTCTTGAAGACTAACCCAACAGCATTAGTAGAACATAAACTAGAGACAGGACATAACTTCGACTTTGACAACACCACAATATTACAAACACAATTTAACTACAGAAAAAGACTAATTGCTGAGATGATCGAAATACAAAAAGATAAAAATTGCGTCAATAAAAGAACAGATATACAAAATTTAAGTAACGCCTATTTTAACATTTTATCAACAACAAAATAATCATCACAAAAAAGCTTTCATATTAGTGTTTTTTGATTTGGATGCCATTCCCTACTTGGTTTTCTTTGTTTGCTCCCACGAACGATAACACTATTTAATTTATTATTGTAATAGTAACAGCTGGCTGTGTCTGTCTTATATATTTTATTTTAAAATCATTCACTTTTTAAGTTTTAATGTGTGATTATTTTTATAACGTTTTTGTGATATTTTTTGATAAGTTTTAAATTGTACCATGTATGTGAATGTAACGTCTCTTATGAATCTGTACCTACCTAACAACTTCGTATATTGTTCATGTTATGACATAGAAAGTCAATCTCAAATGTAAGTACCCAATACTATAAACATAACTGGAGTTGTTAGGACTCTGCACAATAACATTGTCTTACCATTTTGTAGTGTCCTGAAGATGCAATAATATATTGCGAAACGTCGACAATCTGAAATAACAGACTTCTGTTGTTTTATTTCGATCCAATCCCAAATAAAACCTCAACCAATTATTATTTCCTCCATTTCAGACTGGATTTAGGAAAAAGTCCAGGTACACAACAACTTTGCTTTTCTCATCACCTACATTAACCTGGCCGTCGTGCAAAATGAAGCGGTTGTGGCCGTGGCAATATTTTTATAATATATATACCTATTTGGCAAACTATAGAAAAAACTCATACATCACAACGTACCTACCGAAATCTGCAACACCACTTTCAAAATACTGAATAACAGAAACCTATTTATCAGAAACACCCAGAGCCACATAATCGTTCCCAAACAAGTATCCAAGGGACTCCCTCAGGGGTCTCCACACAGGACAATTTTCTTCAACATACAAGAAGAATATTTTCGAGGTCGAGGATAGGGAAATAGTTATCTACTATGGCTTATGCAGACGACATCGTCATATTCACAGCGGAAAAACATTCCAAAACTGATAAATAAAATGAACATTTCCATGGGCAAAATAAACAACTGGCTCACAATGATCTTTCGCTTTCACCAACAAAATGTGAGCCAATGTTCTTCACCAAAGGCAAAAGAAAAGGAGACTTTCCCCCAATCATCATTCAACAACAACATTTGGCCTTTTCAGAATCAATCAAATACTTGGGTATGATCATCGATAGCCAATCAACTGGAATAAAAACACGGAATATGTCACACAAAAAGCCAGAAAGGCATCAAAATTTTAAAAATCTTTGGCAAAGTATGGTGGGGGGCTGACACACAATCATTAATAAACATTCACTCTGGAATCGTTATGTCCCATTTGGAATATGGAGCATTTCTTCTTAATGTAATCAAGAGAAACTGAAATAAAATCAAAACGCTTCAATACAATTCACTAGAATAGTACTCGAATCCACCAAATCAACACCAACAAACGTCCTCCTGGCAGAATCCAACCAAATGGACTTCAGCTTCAGACAGTTATGGCTGGGAACTAAATTTTTCACTAAAACAGTTAACATTCATCAACATCCGATCATTCCTTTGATTAAGGCCATCAAAATACATTACATGACCAATGCAAACTATTGGAGAAGAAAAGACATTCCCTACCTGGTTCAGGCTTGCAAATATTTCTTCCCTTACAGAAACAAAACAGAAAAAATCGACATACTGCCATGCTATAACACTAAATACGAAACTCAAATAAGAAACATCTGTACCATCAATGTGAATATTGGTAAAAGAGAACACTCTGCAAAAATAAAATTCATGGCTAACACGGAAAAGTTTAGAAAAGATTTTACATTCATTTACACCGATGGATCAAAAAAGGAACTTAAAGCTGGTTTTGGTGTGCACTGTCCTTCCTTGAAATACAACTTCAGCTGCAGACGACCAGATGGGTTCGATCTGCTCATCAGAAATAGTAGCCATCTACGAAGCCATTATTTTCATAGCCATGAGAAGCATCAAAAAAGCAATTATTTTCACCGATTCTAAAAGTGCAATGGACATTCTCAACCAAAGTTCTATGAACCCAGACATGGATAGTTTAGCATTGAGAGCCAAATCGCTACGTATCGCAACATATGAGGCAGGATATGACATTAAATTGGCCTGGATACCTAGTCACGTTGGAATCCCTGGAAATGAAACAGTCGACAACTTGGCATATATTGGGAGAAATCTTAATGTCCCAAAAAACCTTCCTCTGAACAAAAAAAAAGGCAACTTTTTTCAAATTAACCGACCTCTAGCTCTTACCGTTTCGGGTATAGCAATAGCCTTGAAATATACCTACACCCTGTATATGGGACTCCATCGGGGCCTATTGACTTATTTCCCTCAACCTTCCAACCGCTATTTTTATATCATTAGACTAAATAACTTTCTCACAAAAAAAAAATGTAGCTGGTCGCCAGAATAGTACTGGCACGAATCTGCGCTATCCATATAGACTGATTTAAAGTGGTCAGCAATGATAAAACATGATAAATATATGTGATAAATACCTTCGCCCAAAGCCATGTCATCCAGGACATCCGGACTATCTTTTAATCTATTAACAAAAGCCCAGCAGTTTTTGAAATAAGATTTTAGACATATTCAATATCCTTCAAATATGCAGTATGTGCTTCTAGGATTTTAGCTTTAAGTAAACTTCTTCCGTTACTGAACCTAATCTTCCAGAATTGCGATTTAAACTTTGTTAGTTTCACAAAGTATCTGCGTTTTTGCTTTATAAGTGAAACTAAATATATCATCTCTAGTAAACCAAACCGGATACTTCTTAGTTCTTACTTTTCTGTGTAGATTAAGGAACTGACTTTTCAAAGATACCATATAAAACATTGTATGTAGAAGCTGCCTAAGGCCAAGTTAACATTTGAGAAATAGTCAAGAAATTTGCCAATCTTGAGACTGAAAAAGTTTGGAGATCAAGAAATTTGCTTTTTAGAAGTTAAACTTAGTTGTAGGCAAGAGCTCGCACTACTTTAAAGCAGTATTTGTTAATATAGATAGGGATGGTGGCTATCTGGCAACAAGATTTTCTTTGTACATGCCACCAATATATTCTCAAAAGAAGCAACAACAATATCCAAAATGAAATTATGTATTTGCATTTCAAATTTGATTGCATTGGCTGAAGCTATCAAAAGCCAAGAAACTATTTAACCATATCATTGCATGATAGTTCACTAACATACTAATTCAGGTCACCCAAGACAATCAATTCAGAATTACTGTTTATCTGTAAGATTGAAAAAAGCATGGATATTTTTAACAATATTATCAATATGATGAATGTAAAAATGTTAAATACCTAGTCTCTATTTAGGTTGTGGCTTTATTGGAAGAAATCTAGTGACCTATCTATTAAACAACGACTTAGTAAGCTCCATTACATTAGTCGACAAAGTCCCACCTCAAGTGGCTTGGTTGAATGAAATCCACAGTGATAGTTTTAAAAACAAACTGGTACAATTTCGCAGTGCTAACCTCATTAATCCTGGTAAGAATTTGATTGATGCCTATATTTTCGATAAACTAAATAACTATTTCAGATTCTTGTAAAAATGCCTTTAGTTTACCAGACGGATCCACCTGGGATTTGGTGGTAAATTGTGCTGGAGAAACTAAATCGGGGCAAACAGATCCTGTATATAAAGAAGGCATTCTAAAATTGAGCCTAAATTGTGCTAAAGAAGCAGCATTACAAGTAAGATTGCATCGTTTCCACCAACTATTTTAGGGAAGTCTTAACGATAAGCATTTCCTTCATTCAGTTTTCCATGTAGAAATGTCAGTTCAGGGAATATTTATCGTTGAGGCTTCCCTAAAATAGTTGGTGGAAACGGCCATTAATCCCTCTTATTGTATAAATAAAATATGAAAAATATATTTTAGAATGTTGGAAGATACATTGAGCTATCTGCTGGAAACATGAACTCATCTGAAAAATCGCCCCATAAAGAAAACGATGCTTTGGAGCCTTGGGGATACATTGCCAAATGGAAAAAAGAGGTACCTAAAGCTTGTCAAATAATTTTGGCTTGCGCTAATATACCTTTTGCTATTAGGTAGAAACTGAACTAGCTGAAACTCCCAATCTTCAATACACTATTTTACGTTTACCATTAGTTTACGGCCTAGGAGATAAAAACTATGTAACGCCGCGCATTTTAGCAGCTGCTATTTACAAGGAACTTAATAAGACTATGAAGCTTCTGTGGAATGCAGATTTAAAAACCAATACTGTACATGTAGTCGATGTTTGTAGGGCTATTTTGTTTTTGTATGAAAGAGGAGATAGTGTTGGCCAAGTATGTTTGATAAATGAACTATGTGGCGAATATAGATTGTCTATTTTTAGATATATAATTTGGTTGATGATGGTGAAACGACACAAGGTATACTTTCTAATATGCTCGGGGATATTTTCCATATAGAGATTGACTATTATGGAAAAATCGTTTCGTCTTGCATTGATATTGAAGGTGCAGTTGAAGAAGCAAACGACAGACATCTAGTAAGTGCATGATGAAAAATATATTAAATAGGTGATTTTACAATAAAAATAACACACAGTTAAGTATATTATAATTGTCTTTAGTGAAAAATACAAAGGGTAACATGAAACTTTTTGCTGTTCTAATGGCACAAGCAACTCATTTGCAGTTTAAAAAAAAGGGCTCCAACCCAAGAATCATAAACTAACAGTATCGTACGTTCGCCATTTCTCGAGTCGCCAGGGCCTGCAAGTGACGTCATCACTATTAGCAGCATAGCAGCCTATAGTGGTGACGTCAGCCGCAGGCCTCGATGAGATGCTCGCGATTCAGGTTGTGCTTGTTTTTTCGTCGATTTTAAATGTAGAATAGTTGATTTTACTGTTTTAAACGCGGCTAATGCATTTTACGCCAAGAGCTAATGGCTGTGGCTGAAATGGCAGACTTTCAGCTCAATAAGCAGTCCTATTAGAGGTGGGTTCGGCTTGCTCACTCCGTGCACTCCGAGTGACTCAATTCGCACTCCAGCCGTTCGGGTTAAGGTTCGGGTATTGCTTTTTACTGTATTAAGGGTGACTCTATTAGCTCTGTTCACTCCACTCCAACTCCGCGCTGAATAGCCGAACCCAGCTTGGGTAGTGTTCTTGGGAAACATCAGTAGTAAACATAATCGCACAATAAACGATTAATGGAAAAAGTTGAGATTTCTAGTATTGAATATTGATTCTACGTGTTGAAAAATGTATGAGGCTACTAGTGATGTTATTTATTCATATGATTTTTTTTAAATTATGTATAACCTTTTTATTTATAACCTTGATAACTGTCACCCAATACATGGCAGTTGCATCCAATCATTTTTTGAAAAGTTGGAAGAGAAAAGTCGCAAGAAGATGAACGTTTGAAAACGTTTTCTGTTATATTTTTGTGCTAATGAGTATTATTAGGTAATTTGCTGTTCAAATCAAATAAGACGCTGAACTTTTCAATAAAGAATCAAGTAAGTGCTAAAATTTAAACCAACTTCATGAGCGACTTCTTAATTCTTAAATTTTTTATTTCGTCCCTTCTCTACGTAATCATTTTTTTGCTGTTGCTTTCTAGAACTTGAAACGGTTTTTACTGTTGAAGACCTTTATTAATCCCACATTACTTATACATTCACTTTTAACCTATTTTAATAAAAATGCAAGGTATATTAAAAACAAAACCAATACCAAACCTAAAACAACACTATTATAACTTAAAACCAAGGTTCCTAAAGTTCATATAAATTTTGTTTCGCCAGGGTTTGTACTTGCCACCAGCATTTACCTTCCTTGTTTAACAAATAAAAATTGACTGAAATAAATCACTGACGTCAAAAACGTTTGTCGGTTCTTAACCAAAAGTCATTCATTTTAATTTGTCAAAAAAATTGCATGTGTCATATAAATCGATCTACGACAACCCTTTTTTTTCAAGTTTCAAGGTCAAGTATGAACCCTGGTGAAACGGACCTCAGGTTGTTTGGTAATGGGTATCTTGATACGCATCTGGGGTGCCTAATGGAGATTTGCATCATGTTGAGTCACCCCAGATGACATTATAAAGTTATCAGGGCTGGGACTCTGTAACGAATAGAGATATTTTCTCTATCTCTATTGACGTCGCCTCTCTATTGATTACGAAAAGAGAGAAGAAGACAGCAAGTGCCATAGCGATAAGGATTAGGATCTCTATCCGTTACAGAGTTCCAGCCCAGGCAACCTACCTTTCTCAGGGCCGGTTACTCAATAGCGAGTCACCTCCGGGTTGCTTATAATTCCAAGGTGCGACGACTCAAAACAATAGAAAAATCAATAGAAAGGCAATCCATTGACCTGTCAAACGAAATTCAATATGGCCGTTCGGGTCAAACACCGTGTTGTTTAAATTTAGGTTAAAGTTTAGGTATTGATAAAAATCAATGAAAAATTACTTTTTTCTGTGACGGGAAAAAAGTAGACTTTTTGTACCTGTTGACAGGGGCAAAAATGTCACTTTTCCTCCCACGGAAAACAGTAACAGGTACCGGTACCAGTACGGTAACAGAAAAAGGAAATGTATAGATGGAAAATGGTGAGATTTTTCCGTCACAGAAAAAAATAGTGTATTATAGACGGGAAAAAAGTAAGATTTTAGCGCTTGCTGTGTCGTCAAACCACGCCTCGCGCTGAAATCTAGTACTTTCCCTTGTATAATAAATAACTATTTTTTCTGTGACGGGAAAAAAATTAAACATTTTGTACCTGTTGACAGGGGCAAAAATGTCACTTTTTCTCCCATGGAAAAAAAAGTGATTTTTTTTTCCCTCGGGGAAAAAAGTAACAGGTACTAGTCAATTTTTGTATAGATGGAAAGTGATGAGATTTTCCCGTCACAGAAAAAAAAAGTGTATGGGAAAAAAGTAAGATTTTAGTGCTCGCTGTGTTGACTCCCTCCGTTTCGCGTCGGGAGACAAACCACACCTCGCGCTAAAATCTAGTACTTTTTTTCCTTGTATAATAAATAACTATTATTTTGTCACATCCTGGACGTTTATTTTGTCACATTCTGGACGTTTATTTTGTTACATTCTGGACGTTTGGGATTGTCATGTTCGGCATCTACAACAAGGGCTAGAACACAAATGCTTTTCTTATGAACGTTACCACATTATCTGACCTGAACAGCCATATTGAATCACATGGTCTGGATTGAATCTTGGTCTGGATCAAGGTTGTTTGAGAAAGGTAGGTTGCTTGATAACTTTATGACGTCATTCTTTCTCTTTCTAATTCAGTGCTGTTAGGTTTGGTATATTCCTAACCTCAAATATAATATTTTTTAAACCAGAAAAGATTTCTATAATTCGCCAATAGGATAATTAGAGATTCACATTCTCCATCTCAATTTTATAGAACAGCGGGCTATTCCAGGTACGTGTAGTTTATAGTTCATTGGCCTCAACATAATGCAAATATCCATGGGACGCACCAGATACGTCATCAAGTTACCCATTACCAGACAACCTATTAACTTTAGGAACCGTGGATCTGGATTGCCTAATTAGGGAAATTCAATATGGCCGTTCGGGTCAAACACCGTACTGTTTACATTTGGGTTTAAGTTTAGGTAACTGATAAAAATCAATGAAAAATTACTTATTTTGTCACATTCTGGACGTTTAGGTTTGGCATTGGAATTATCATGTTCCGCATTTACAACAAAGGCCAGAACACAGATGCTTTCCTTATGAACATTACTACCAATATCTGACCTGAACGGCCATATTGAATCCTGACGCATTGAAGTAGAATGTCACACACTCACATATCATAACCTCACTTTCGATGAGGGCTCAAACAAAGTGTTTAAGAACTATTTGCACACATCACATCAGTTAGGCGCTAGCTATTACGTCACAAATCACATAAATAACGTCACTTTCGAATTTCGATAGGGGGACGAAAAGGGCCGAATGTATAGTTACTCCATAACTCCAGGGTAAACATTGCAACTGGATACGTTTACCCTGGAGTTAAAAACAACCCAGAGGTGACTCGCTATTGAGAAACCAGCCCTGAGGTTTCCTCGGACCTAAAGGAATCCTTGAACGATTAGAATGGACATGACTAACTTATCAAATAGTAGCAAATGTCCATTCTAAAGTCACGTCCTCCAAGGAAGACTCTAGGAACGACTATAAATTCGGCCCGAAACATGTCATTTGGAACCAACAAACGATATTTACATTTATTTGCGTATACTTTTTCAACTGATGTGTCATTGATTCGTCCCCCCATCGAAAGTGAAGTGAGGCTATGTGTGACGTCACCTGAGGTACCTAAAAACCTTGATATCAGATATCAACGGCGACCGGAGGGTTATTTTACCTATTTTTGAAGGAAAATCAGAGGTACACTCCTACCCCCTCTGATAAGGGTAATGTATTTATTTAATTATACATGTCTCAAGAATAATCATAATACTCTGCGCCATTGGGCGCAAATTAAGTATAAATTCTTGGGACCCTGATGTCATTTGAAGTTTGTTGATATCTATGTAGGTATAATTTAAAAATTAAGAAGTACAAGTGGATTTAAATCCTAATGCAAACATTCTCATGCTAATTTACACATAAATGTTCCAGATATACTTCGCGAAACCTGAATTTTCCTGTTCTGAAACATTGTTCTGCATCTAAACAATTGAAACATCTACGAACGAAAAATGGATATTCCACAAACACAAGAAGACATCGATGTCCAGATCAAAGAAATGCAACGCAAAAGACAAAAACTTATATCCGAATCAAATAACAATGGCGTACGTTTAGGAGAAACTGGCATATTCGATAGGGAAATTTACAGTAGAAACGACGAAAAGTATGAAGGATATGTCAGTTCTATTCCGACTCATAATGATTCTGACAATGATGAAGACGAGGAAGAATTTAGATATGCTAAAGAACCAGGACAAGCTTACGCTGTTTTATTCAATATCAATACGCCAAAAAACGAGCTGGATGTATTAGCTGATCGAAAACGTCCCACAATTGCCGACAGAGAAGATGAGTATAAAGAAAACCGAAGAAAGAGGATCATTTCTCCCGAACGTGTCGATCCTTTTGCAGATAACGGAAAAACCCCTGAAGCTAACGCCAGAGGATTTATGCAAATCATGAAAGAAACCCTTCTACAAAGCAAGGAAATCGAGTTGAAAAAGCATATCAAAGAAAAAGCAGACAAAAGAACCTTGACAATAATCGAAAACGTAGACCTTAAACTTGTACCCAAAAAAAAAGGCAGGTGGGATCAAACCCTCAAGCCAGAATCAGATCTAAACGACACGCCAATTTGTAAAAATTGGAACCAAACACCGGTTCATCAAGGAACTGAAACTCCAGGGCTCACGCCAAGTCAATCTACCCGCATGTGGGAACTGACTCCCGATGTGACTACACCAGGACACGGAGCTTCAATTTTATCAAAAAAGAGTGGCTGGGACAACACACTGAAAGCTGAAGAGGATGCATATGGTTGGGTTGCTACTCCAAGAACACAATCCGATAGAATTCAAGAAACACCAGATTCATCTAAACGTAGATCTAGATGGGATCAAACTCCTTCAATTGTTGGAACTCCTTTAGTTGCTGCTTCTGTTGTTAGTACACCTTCAAGAACGCCTTATGAGACTCCTGTACACAAAATTCCTGTATTAACTCGAGGTGGATCGACTCCTATTGGTATTAAAGCTAAGTCGATGACAACGCCCTCGCCAGCTTTTATGACTCCTGAACAGCTCCATGATTTCAGATGGATGCAAGAAATTGACAAAAGAAATGGGGCTTATTCAGACGAGGAACTTGACTGTTTGTTCCCTCAAGGATATAAAATTTTGCCACCGCCTGTGGGTTACGCACCAGTCATAAATGTTGGCAGAAAATTAACTGCTACTCCAACACCATTGGTCGGCCAAAGTCAATTAGGATTTTTCATGCAATCGAGCGATAAGTTTATTCAATACGCGGATGATCAACCCAAAGAAGAAAATTTACCTTTCATGAAGCCCGAGGATGCTCAGTATTTCAGTAAATTATTGGTTGATGTTGATGAAACCTCTTTGGGTCCGGAAGAAGAAAAAGAACGCATAATAATGAAGCTTTTATTGAAAATAAAAAATGGCACTCCACCAATGCGTAAATCAGCCTTGAGACAAATCACTGCGAAGGCTAGAGAGTTTGGAGCTGCAGCACTGTTTAATCAAATATTGCCTTTACTAATGAGCCCTGTCATGGAAGATCAAGAGCGACATTTCCTGGTTAAGGTTATCGACAGAATTTTATACAAGTTGGACGATTTGATACGGCCCTATGTCCACAAAATTCTTGTGGTTATTGAACCTTTGCTAATTGATGAAGATTATTTTTCTCGCATTGAAGGCCGTGAAATTATTTCGAATGTTGCTAAAGCTGCAGGTTTAGCCACAATGATTTCAACTATGAGACCTGATATCGATAATATTGATGAATATGTTAGAAACACAACTGCAAGAGCTTTTGCAGTTGTAGCATCGGCTTTGGGTGTTCCATCGATGTTACCTTTCTTAAAGGCTGTTTGTAAGTCGAAAAAATCTTGGCAAGCTAGACACACTGGTATTAAAATCGTTCAGCAAATTGCTATTTTAATCGGTTGTGCTGTTTTGCCCCATTTAAAAGCTTTGGTCAGCATTATCGAGCATGGTTTGTTGGACGAACAACAAAAAGTGAGAACTATTACTGCTTTAGGTATTGCTGCTTTGGCTGAAGCTGCTACTCCTTATGGAATTGAGAGTTTTGATTCGACATTGAAACCATTGTGGCGGGGTATTAGAGTTCATCGTGGTAAAGGATTGGCTGCTTTTTTGAAAGCTATTGGCTACTTGGTTCCTCTTATGGATGCTGAATATGCCAATTACTATATTAAAGAAGTCATGTTGATTTTGATTAGAGAGTTTCTGTCTCCGGATGAAGAAATGAAGAAAATTGTATTGAAAGTAGTGATGCAGTGTTGTTCTACTAATGGAGTGGAGGCAGAATATATTAAAAAGGAAATCTTGCCACTGTTTTTTAAAAGTTTTTGGACTCGCCGAATGGCTATGGACAGACGCAATTATAAACATGTAGTAGACACTACTATTGAAATAGCCAACATAGTAGGAGCGCCTGAAATTCTACACAGAATAGTAGACGATCTTAAAGACGAACACGAAAATTACAGACAAATGGTGATGGAAACTATTGATAAAATCATAGGCAACGTGGGAACGGCTGACATTGATTCCAGATTGGAAGAACAACTTATTGACGGCCTGCTGTATGCTTTTCAGGAACAAACCACTGAAGATTTTGCGATACTTGATGGCTTTGGTAGAATCGTTAATAATTTGGGCAAAAGAGTAAAAGCGTACTTACCACAAATTTGTGGCACAATCCTGTGGCGGTTAAATAACAGATCTGCCAAGGTTCGACAACAAGCGGCGGATTTGATAAGTAAAATAGCAATAGTAATAAAAACCTGTCAAAATGAAAAACTTTTGGCCCATTTAGGAATCGTACTCTATGAATATTTAGGCGAAGAGTATCCAGAAACTTTGGGCTCTATTCTTGGAGGTCTCAAAGCTATTGTGAGTGTTATAGGTATGACAAACATGAATCCGCCAATCAAAGACTTGCTACCACGTTTGACGCCTATACTTAAAAATCGTCATGAAAAGGTACAAGAAAATTGTATTGACTTGGTTGGTCGAATTGCTGACAGAGGCACCGAGTATGTTAGCGCAAGAGAATGGATGAGAGTTTGTTTTGAGCTTTTGGAACTTCTTAAAGCCCAAAAGAAAGCTATTCGTAGGGCCGCAGTGAATACTTTCGGGTATATAGCAAAAGGAATCGGTCCACATGATGTTTTAGCTACATTATTGAACAACTTGAAAGTACAGGAACGTCAAAACAGAGTCTGTACCACTGTGGCTATTGCCATTGTTGCAGAAACTTGCTCTCCGTTTACAGTACTGCCAGCTTTGTTAAACGAATATAGAGTACCCGAATTGAACGTGCAAAATGGTGTTTTGAAATCATTATCCTTTTTGTTTGAGTATATTGGGGAGATGGCTAAAGATTATATTTACGCTGTAGTGCCTCTTTTAGAAGACGCCTTGATGGACAGAGACATAGTGCACAGACAAACAGCATGCGCTGCCATAAAACATATAGCTCTAGGAGTATACGGTCTAGATTGTGAAGATGTTTTAGTCCATCTCCTAAATTACGTTTGGCCAAATGTATTTGAAACGTCTCCTCACTTAATCCGAGCATTTATGGAAGCCATCGAGGGCCTGCGAGTTTCTCTTGGACCTATCAAGCTATTGCAGTACACGTTGCAAGGTTTGTTCCATCCATCTAGGAAGGTGAGATGTGTTTATTGGAAAATTTATAATTCACTTTATATTGGTGGGCAAGATGCTTTGGTTGCTGGCTATCCAAGAGTTTCTGATGATAATAAGAATCAGTATGTAAGGCACGAATTAGATTATATTTTGTAAAGAGTTTCTGGACATTTAGTGATTAGATTATTTATTTATATTTATTAGAAATTAGTAATGTTGTTTTTTGGATGAATATTGTGCTTTACAAAATCTTGATTGTTTAACAATTAGATTTAGGTAATGTTGTTTCAGTTGTTTGTCGAATAAATATGTAGTCTTTGATTTATTATTGTTTGTATTCTGTATTTCTTCTTCTGAGTTGAAAAGTGATGACTGGAGCCAAAAGCTTACCCAGTTAAGCATAACTATGAAAAAGTTGTTGGTGGTCGATACTCTTTCAAATTATCGAGGTGGCAGTTAGCAGTAAAATGCCAGAACGTTTCTGGCACTCGATATTCTCTCTTTTTGACAAATAATTAGAATTTATTCCTATTTCCTGGAGCATCTTAAGCGATAGAGAATGCCATATAAACTGTCAAAAGCCTAAGACAAGTTTAAAATATTCAATTCCACAGCTTTTGGAACGTTGCTGATCTAGAGTGATCTTGAGATTCCTGGTACAATTTGTATATATTTCAGGCACCTTGGGCTGAAGTTTGCAGAAGAGACCACATCGAAAACACGCCACTGTCTCCTCATATGGACCCGCTTTTGTTGCAAAATAAACATCTCAATTTGGACGGTAGCAAATTGAAAAATTTAGGGTTCACTTTGACTGTTCCCCGGCCGACAGTTGAAAAACTAAAAGAAATCATCGACGACTATGTTAAAATGAAAGTCTTTCCTGTATCTTTAGCTTCATAAAAAATAATTGAGACAAGAAAATCTATCGTTTTCATTGTAGTTTTACAAATTATAGCATTTTTCTGTAGCTTGCAAGATGCAAGCCATTATATAATAATATGATGCCTTTTGAGTTAAATTAGGAAAACTTCATTCTTGTAAAGATTTTTTAGTTTTTCAATTGTTGCCCTTTTGGCATTAAAAATAATAAAATCGATATTTAATATTGTGGTCCTTTGTAGCAACCCAAAGTGACCTCGCCCTTTGAAGTGTCTTAAATGTTGTTAAAATAAAATTAAGTCTATAAACGTTGTTATTTCTTGTTTAACTTGAATTTTAAATTAACTACAAGTCAATAGCATAATGTGTTATATTTTATTAAATACTTTGTGATGTTGATGTAATTGCAATCTTCCATTACTATAAGCACAATAGTTTCTGGCTTGTAATTCAAAGTTATAACATGAGTGATGTTAATGCACAAATATTTAAAAGGCTTTATACAAACTAACCCAATCCAATATATTATTTCTTTTAGAATCTTATGCATATTACGCTTTAAAATTATATACAATTTTAGTTATAGTTAGGTAGGTAGGTACTTAAAATAATTTGGCAATCTATACATTCCATGATACCTATATAAAATTGTGATGTATTAAATTTTGGAATATTATTATTGTGATTTATACCCTATTGTATTCAAGATAGGTTTTGATTAATTAATTTTCCTTTCCAAAGATCGGAATAATAGATTTCTATGAAATTTATTGGTTTTCAGAAATAGTCAAGTCAATTTATTGATTTTGGATTGGAAAATTTTATATTCAAATTTATATTAATAGGGAGTAAGCTTTAAGCCATACTAATCAATTATTTTAGACCTTATAATATAGTTCCCTCTGAAATAAAAATTGCTCAAAATTAATTTTACAATAATGTTAAATGATATGAAAAATAATGTAATTGTTAAAGTTAATTTTTTTTTTCTTATTTGATAGGTATTTGAATATAATTAAATGTGTATTCTTTATTGTTTTGTATTTAAAGTTTCAGAGAAAACTTCCTATGTCCATGTTGTCAATAGAAAAACTCCAGTTGTTTTTTTGCAGACATGGAGTCTAATAATTAGGATTTCCAGGTTGAAGGTTGCTATATGTAACCTGCAACTGGTTTTGTATTAATTATTTAGTAGTAAACAATTCACTCAGAAGTGTGGCATCTTTCAGAATAACCTGAAGGTAGCACTGATAAAGCCTTTATACAAAAAGGGGGATCCTAAAATCAGTTATAGACCAATAAGCGTGTTGCCTTCATTTATAAAACTAATGGAACTAGTAATGTGCGATAGAATGTTAAAGTTTACTTCACGAATATATGTAACTTGTTAAATGATAATCAACCTTAAGGGTAGATACCAATGGTGGATCCACATTAACATCCATTTTTGAATTTACCGAGTCAATTTTGGAGTTCTTTGAGAAAGGTCAGATAATGGCTTTGGGTATTTTTGTGGATTTGTCCAAGGCGTATGATTGTCTCAATAGGTTCTTTTGAAAAAAAAATTAGCATTTTTTTTAGCATTTAGTATTGTTCAGGACGAATCACTCAAAAACAGGGCGGAAGAAACCGCAGATTATGGTAGAGTGGCTGTTTCTGAGCGCACCTACCTGAGTGAATTTCTGGATTGATCAACTCATATCAGTCATACCCAGGGCCGTAGCCAGGGGGGGCATTGAGGGGCCATGCCCTATCTTTCAAATCATCTTTAAAACACAACATGCGTTGAGGTTTCTATAGGAAATTTAAGAGTAGATGAAAGCACTGTTCAAACCGACATGAGAACTGTTCTAAAACGGTAATTTCCAGTCGATCAATTCATTTGTCAAATGAGATAAACCTTCAACTTATTGAAAATTAGGTGGGCAATTGGAAATTACTAGTTCTGGAATGGTACCCATGTCGGTTGGGCCACAGTTAATGAATATACCTGAAATCGAGTAAGTTGGTAGGTATACAGTTATCTTACAATTAGTACAAGAGGTCCATCAAAAATTATTGCCTGAACGCGCCATTTTGTTTACTTACTTGCCAGAGATGTTATTTAATGTTGTTTATTGAAATACCCCCATTTTGTTTACCTATAAAAAATTTAAGGGGGGGAGTACTGCATGCCCTATGTCAAATATTTCATGCTCTACTATCACAAATTTGACTCTAGCTATGGCCCTGGTCATACCATTGATAAAAAAGCTCAATTCAATTTACTATGGAATCCGAATCGTCACACAATACATGAACGAAAAAACCAAGGGGAGTGTATTTTGCAACTTTTGAGTCTGTGTTGAGGAATGGCATCATATTCTGGGGCAGAGGTTGATCAATTCAAAATGTTTTTGCAGCACAACGAGTTTTTCGTGTGATTGGTATCATGACAGTGTACGAATTGTTGAATTGTACATATACGAATGCCTCTTCGAGGTCCAAATTTGACACTCTTATAACATAAGAGCAGAGAACTTAAGCTATCCAAGGTATAGGCTTCAAATAACCCAAAGACACCTACATGTGTGGGTAAAACTATTTAATAAGCTGCACTTGAACTTGAAGAATATAAACAGTCAACGCCAATTTGAATGTGAAGTTAAAATAAGTGATTGCTTGATCTCGAACCATATTTCTGGTCAACGCTGAGAACCACCATTCAGAGACAGTTTGTACCTAGCAAACTTGATAAATTGGTGTTGAACACTCTCAAGCCTATTGATGCGGATCTGATAGTAAGGTGACCAAACTATGCCAGAAAATTCAGGAATGGATCTGACCAGTGATGTGTAAAGAATTTTGGTGAGGCGTATACTTGTAAAGTCCCTATAGTAGCTTTCTTGATAAAACCCAACATTCTATTAGCCCTGTACAATTACCACTTCAAAATGCTTGGTGAACATTAACCTATAGTATCTAGATAGACACCAAGATCTTTGACGACAGAAACTTCAGACAAGCGAACATCACCTAAGGGCCGAATTTATAGTCGTTCCTTGACTCTTCCTTGGAGGTCGTGAGTTTAGAATGGACATTTGTTACTATTTGACAAGTTAGTCATGTCAATTCTAAACTTTCAAGGTCTGAGGAAACCTCAAGGAGAAAAATTTCCTTAGGAATAGTACCATGATTGGATTGGGAATGAACAAAGTTCCAGAAGACTTTCACATTAATGCCTATGGCCCTTTCAGTATCACTTATGTATAATTTCTAGCACTCCTTGGTGAGTTTTCACAATCTCTCTGAAGTCTATTAAACGCAAAATAATCTACTTCACTATTCGACTGCTTGTATTGTTTGTGAGCAATACCTATTCTTTTGAAAAATCAGGTTTTTTAGTTCGTAAGAAAACCAGATAGGAAATTTATCGCTGTAACAATTTTTCTTTGTGGGAACAAATATATTAAAGCAGTCGAATAGCACCGAGTAAAAGTTATTAACAGTTTCGCTTAGATCCTCAGTCATAATGGATCGCCAATCAAAGGAAAGAAAATATTCATTAATTACATCGTAATTGGCATTTTTAAAGTCATAGGAGAAATAATTAAGAGGCTTCAGTTTAGCTTTATCAACAGGTATGGAAAACTCCAGAGCTGGGTGATAACGATCTCGGCCCACAAGACCGTCAGATATTACAATTGAGACAAGCTCAAAGTTGGAAAAGAATAAATCCAGGATTGAACCATGATCGTTGATCACCCCATTGTATTGAGACAGATTAAGAGAGGGTCACATAACAATAATTCCTTAGTTGACCTTACATTTCCAGGTGATAAACCAGAGAGATCCTCACTAGTGGACCACGTTATTTGAGAAAAATTATAGTCTCCAAGAACAAGCACATTCTCAAACATTTCACAGGCACCCGGAACTAATTTCAAGTGGTTTATTTCATAATACGAAATATCCACGGTAGGTGGAATGTAGACAGTAGACACAGCCAATACAGAAGACCAAGTCACCCAGCGTCACTGACACCCATGTTTCCTCCACCTATCCTCCACCAATTGACAGACGATGAGATTTAAAGCAATTATTCGCTGCCAGAAGCACCCCACCTCTACGGCTCTCAGCACTGTTTAGACTGCTCTTATCACAGCGACTAACCGTATAACGTAAGTTCAGAAATTCAGCATCACAGATACTACAGTCTAGCCAGGTTTCCGTAAGTGCAATCACTGAGAAAGACCCGGCGCGAGCACAGAAAGTTTCTTTGAGTTTAGTTTTTAGGCCTCTTACATTTTGGTACAGAAAGCATAGAATCAGAAAGGTAGCACAATCTAATGAGACTGGTCCACGCGACCCCTGTTTCTCCCCTCTGAAAATTTGCTGTGGAGGGTTTTACCATACAACGAGGATGAAACTCCTTGACAGCAATGCCTACAGGCCAGAGGTTTGAATTTAGCAGGCCCTTCAAAAGTGATTTTTTCACCCCAATTTTAAATGAAGCCACATCGTCATTTTTGTCCAATGCCGAGCCTTTGACATCAGGAATGGAAAGCTGATCCTTCAAACAGTCGGAGATCTGTTTTTCGGTGGTAATCGGATCACATCGACCCAGATATAGCCACTGACGCATCTCACCTGCAGAGAAAAGACCTTTGTTGGCACCGGTACCGATTAATACAGGATTGTTATTTGAGTGCACACTATTGAATGATTGAAAGCTTCTTGATTCATTCCTAATGGGCACTGACTGTAGAGTAGGTTGGAATAATTGAGATGGGGTTGGCGAAGGACCTGAGGAGTTTAATACAGCTCTAATGGAATTCAGGGTTGCAGTAAGTAGCTGGAGCTCATTTGTACTGGCGCTCTTTTTGATGCTTGAGTAGCCTAGTCTGTAAATCTTTGTCACTTTGTATACCTATTGTTTTTGTATATTGCTTGAATGTTTATGTAGCCATGTAGTTTTTTTAGTTGTCTTGAAGTTTCATTGTATACGCATAACAACATCGGAAATGGATATCTGTAAACAAAATTAGTTTCACAATTTTAGTGCACAGTATAAAGATGCCTACAAAGAGGCTAAAAGAGAAAGTCGAAGCCTTAAAAAAAGCTCAAACTCAGAAGTACGAAAGTAGAATCACAAGTCTGATGACAAAATGAAATGTTTGTGGGCTATTACTGAAGAGGTAACAGGAAAGGCTTATTCTAAGAATAAAAATGGTATATTTTTTCAAGACCAATTACTATTAAAGAAATTAATGAATTAGTGACAGGAATAAAAAATAAACATAGTGGATGAGCTACCAACAAGCATCATAAAAGTGTCTAAAGAGAAAGTTAAAACGGCAATATTTTGCTATTAGATTAATAATAGTTCTTTCAGGAATGGGACATTCCCAGACAAACTAAAAGTAGCCTGAATTAAGCCTTTGTAGGTACAAGAAGGGAGACGAGGGAAAAATGGACAGTTACAGGCCTATCAGCCTTTTGCCTGAATTTTCCAAACTTTTTGAGCTTGCATGTGCAAAAGCCTTCTAAAATTTATGAACGACTGTAACTTGTCCAACAGTAACCAGCATGGTTTCTAAAAGGGAAAATCCACTTAAACGGCAATGTATCAGTTTATAACATTTATCCATAATTTTTTTGAAAGCGGAGAGGAAGCGATGGGCATGTTCCTCGACCTGTCTTGACAAAAAAATACTTTGGGGCAAACTTGATTAATATGGAATATGAGGGAGGGCCCTGGCACTTTCGGCACTAGTTAGGAAATATACTATTTTCCACATTCATAGAAAAATACTTTGGATTATTAATTGATGAAAAGATTTTAAGTACCTAAGCTTAGAGTACAAATTTTTAAAGGCGGTGATGATTAAGACCCCTCTAACTACCGACCCATATCTATGCTAACAACCCTTTCAAAAATTATAGAAAAAGTTGCTAAAGCAAGATTGGTGGAATTTCTTGGTAAACAATATCCTTATTAGTCCTGAACAGTTTGGCTTTCAAGAGCAAAGGGTTACACAAGATGCTATTTTTTCCTTTTTAGAGAAATTGTTTTTTGGGTTGAATGATGGCGAAAAGGCAGCGGCGGTGTTTTGTGATTTTTCCAAAGCATTTGATTGTGTAAATCACAAAATACTGCTGCGCAAGATGGGTCATTATGGCATTAGGGGAACAGAATTGAAGTGGTTTGAGTCATACCTTGCGGGACGTAGTCAATTTGTCAGAACATCAGATTATGAAGATTCAGAAACTTTAAGGTTGATATATGGAGTTCCGCAGGGGTCTGTTCTTGGGCCTATTTTATTTTCAATTTATGTGAATGACCTAGCTGGGCTGTCGATACTGGGGAGATTTGTAATTTTTGCAGATGACACCACAATTCTTTGGAAACATAAAGATGACAATGTTTTGGCCAACATAATAGAGAAGGATTTCTGTAAGGTTGGAGAGTGGTGCGATGCTAACTGTCTTGTGTTTGATGTCAAAAAAATAAACATACTTTCATTCAAGTGCTCCCTTGTCAGAATCACACTCTGCGACAATAGTCTGAAAGAAAAGGATGTGAAATTGTGGTGAAATTTCTGGGACTCCACATAGATTCGAAACTCAAATGTGACAGACATATTGATCATCTCAATTGTTATGTATGAGATTATCGAAACCACCATGTGCTAGACAAGTTGTCGGAGGTGACAATCAGTCAGTCAATATCGTCAATATTTGCATGGGTCTTCGTGAAGTCTCCTACAAGGTCCCGCATAAAGTTGCAGAATTTATATTAAATAACCTACAACAAGGTGAGTCTTTTATTTAAATTCAGAACATGAAAAATTAGCTAAAGGATGTTACATTATAAAGATCCTCGTTTTGTTCCATTCAATGCCTTCGTGAGCAGTTATTTTAACAGATACAGAACGATTTACAGACAAATTATAAAAGAGGCCAAACGAATTCATTATGAAGCTGGGTTGAGTGAAGCATCAAATAGACCTAGAGAAGTGTGGCAAATTATTCATAAACTCACGGGAACTTCCTCTTCGCGTTCAAATCATGTGGATATTGAGCCAAATATATTAAATAAATATTACTGCAATGTGGCACAAGGCCTAATGGATGAATTAAGTTCTGATGTGAGTCCTTATCATTTTCTAAAACATTCTGTTTTGAAAACTTTTCGACTTTATCATACCGATCCAAAAGAATTAAAAGCAACATTCCGAGAAATAAAAAATAAAAATTCTGCTGGCATCGATGAAATGTCTTTAAAAATATTTGAATGCATGCCAGATAACGCCATAAATTGCTTGTGTTTGGCTATTAATCATTCGTTTGACACTGGAGTTTTTCCAACTTCTTTGAGGACAAGCATTATCAGACCTATCTTTAAAGGTGGTGATGCCGAGGATCCCTCATGCTATCGCCCTATATCTCTACTCCCGTCCCTATCTAAAATATTAGAGAAACTGGTTAAATCCAGAATGATCGCATTTTTAAAGAGACATAAAATACTATTTATGATTGCCAATTTGGGTTCCAAGCTAAAATGAATACATGTGATGCGATTTTTAATTTTCTGGAGTCACTCTTTCTGGGTCTGAATAGTGGTGATGTTGCTGTAGCAGTCTTTTGCGATTTCTCGAAAGCATTCGACTGTGTTAATCGCGAACTACTGCTGGGGAAGCTTTACCATTACGGTTTTAGAGGGGTGGCGCTTGGTTGGCTTGAATCATTCCTTAACAACAGGGAGCAGATTGTCAGGTGTCAGGATAAAAACTCAGCGGCTCTTATTAATCCTCACGGAGTGCCCCAAGGTTCACTTTTAGGACCCCTACTGTTCCTTCTGTACATAAATGACCTGACTAACGTGGATATTGATGGAAAGTTGACCTTATTTGCTGATGAAACTACTATTTTATGGATTGAACATGAACCACAGATCTTGCAAAATAAAATCCAGAATGATATCATGAAGGTGAAAGAGTGGTGTGATACAAATTGTTTGACATTTAATATAAAAAAAAACAAATATAATGTCGTTTAGGTGTAGTGTTGATGGTGTGGCAATGCAGAGTGACACAATTATTAATAAATCATGTACGAAATTTCTGGGAATTACTGACTCCAGACTCAATTTTTCTGATCACATAACTGCACCAAATAAAAAGCTGTCTGCAGGTTGTTATGCAATAAGAGTGATAAGCAAACAGGTAAATCATTCCATGGCAAGATCATTGTACTTTTCCGTAATTGAGTCAAATATAAGATACGGAATTCCAGTCTGGGGATTTGCTAACAAACAACTTGTGCAGACAGCTTTTGTCCTTCAAAAGAGAGCACTCAGGTATCTTTGTGGTTTAAATTTTAGGGAACATTGTACGGAACATTTCAGAAGGGAAGGGATACTGACTTTAGCATGTCTTTTTATATTGGAAACAGTTACTCTAATACATAGGAAGTATGCTGACGTTTCAAATGAAAATGTTCACAATACCCGGCGTGGCAATGAATTGCGCCTGCCTATACCAAGATCCACGCTCACCAAACAGTCAATAGTGTATGGGGGTTTGAAAATGTATAATCACCTGCCTATGAATTTAAAGAGCCTAAACTGTTTAAAAAAATTCAGGGTGGCAGTGAAAAGGCTTTTCCAATCTAAGGCATATTATTCGGTGGACGAATTTTACCACGAGACATTTTAATCTGTTTTTGTTTGTACAATTCGGCAAGACCCTGTTGTTTTTGTGACTTTTAATTTGCTTGTAATTCCACTTTGTTGCTCCTTATTGCTTTATTGCTCCGTTTTTTTTTTTTTTTTTTGTTAGTCTGAGCTTTGTGTAAGTGAGTGCTTTTATAACCTGTTTTATTTTTTATATTATGACCAATGATTTTAACAAAAATTTGTATTCATTTTCTTTTCAGTATTTTTAATTATCTTAGTATTGAGACATTTTATAGTTTTGAATTATGTTATTATTTGTAGTCATGTGTTCATTAATTTTATTTTACTGATTTAGTTTATAGTTTTTGTATGTCTATATTTTTTTCTCTTTATTTTTAATTTTATTCTATTTATAAGAGCTTTGTTAACAACATTTCATATTTCATAACACATAACAATAAAGCATTATTTGATTTGATTCGTCCATGAACTAGGAAAGCTTTCAGCTAAGACAGCCTACTATGCCCTAATTGAATCGCATTTGAGATATGGTATAGCGTTCTGGGGATATTCAACACAAAGCGCTATTCAATCGGTTTTTGTTCTACAAAAAAGAGCCTTGAGATATCTTCATCAGGACTCAGGTTGGATGCAGGGAGAGCTGCAAGCCTCTTTTTATCAAGCATGAAATTCTAATGGTTCCGTGTATCTTTATATTGGAGACTGTATGCTTAATATTTAAAAAATTCCAGGGGTTCGAAAGAGATGAAGTACAGTACAACCTGAGGCATAACAACTTGCTCTTACCTATACCATTGACAAAAAACTCTATAATGTATGAAAGCGTGAAACGTATAACAACTTGCCAAATGATATTAAGAATATCAATAAATATTTCGCTTTTCGTGACAGTACAAAAAATTTTTGGTTTCCAGGGCATTTTATTGCTTAGAGGAATTTTATATTTGATCCATCGCATTATTATACATATTATATAAGTATTAGGTATCTGCACTAGTTCCTTAAATTGTGATTGTAAATATTTTGTTTCATTTTATATTTTTTTCATCTTTTTCGTTTTTAATGACTTGTTTTATCTACACCACATATTATATTAAGTTTTGAGTTGTTCGTCTTTCTTACTGTTTCTTGTATATTTTTTTTACCTTTTTTTTTGTTTTGTTTTCGACACGAAAGTTTCAAAATATGTTTATAGTTTTAAGGTTATGACATTGATTTAAGTTAAGAACCTTTATGTATTATGCTAGCTAGTTAAGTTGCTTTGTCAATCATTTTGAAAAGGAATTTTGACAATAAAGCTTTTTTTAAACTGAATCGAATTTATGTGTGGCTTACTGCAAAATAGTGCTAAAACTAAAAGAGGCCTCGTCATTGTGGAATTAAAACATCCAAGCTGATAGGCCACTAAACAAATGTAAATCTTGACCTTTTTCCAATCGTTTGAGTTCAAATTGATTATCATATTTACCAGAGAGCCTATATGTATTTTCAAATAAAAGTAACTATTTTTGTTGTTAAATGATAACAATATTTATTTTTAGATCATTTATATGAGCTACAAGAAATCAATTACATTTGGGTAGTAGTAAGAAATAAAAACACCATTTGGAATGAAATATTACAACAGATAAACCTAAACAAATTGACTAATTTATAAGAAAATGAACATCCAATTTAGGGTGCCAGCACCAAAAATTTAACTAAACCTAATTCGGTTGAGCCAACCCGATAACGGCACAAGCCAGTCTACCTCCGGCGTTACCAGTCATCTTGCTCAAATCGTGTCCACCCTTGCCCAAATCATCAGGATCAGCGTGAACTACAATGGTACGTCCAATGATGCTGTTGCAGCCACACAAAGAAATTAGTTTGTCGGAAATGTTGATTTTGGCTACGCCTTCCGCGTTGGCAGTAACATTTCCAAGATCACCTACGTGACGTTCTTCGTCCGTAGGACCTCCGTGGTCTTTTTGGTCGGGGTTGAAGTGAGCCCCAGCTGAAATGCATCCGTTGGTGTTGTCGCCGAACTCGTGGATGTGGAAACCGTGCAGGCCTTGTTTGAGGCCCTTGAGTTCGCCGTTTACTTGTACTGGACCATCGCCTTCCTATAGAAATACGTAATTGAGTGTTTATTGTAATTGGCCAATTAGTAATTTCTAGAATGTGCCGGAGAGGGCACATTTTTGTGTTTTTTTTTTAAGATTAGATTTTGAGGTTCAGAAAATAGCTATTTTACCTGTGAGAAGAACACAGTTCCGTTAACGGTTTCGCTCTTGAGTACTGCTACTGCCTTAACCATTTTCGATGATTTTTTAAATTAAAACACGCTCAAATGACTTCGAAAAACAAAATTGGAGTGTGGAGCTCAGTGTGGTGGATGACACTGACACTAGTAATTAATTAATTATCAAATTATTTTTTTCCGATGAATGATTCGCAGTTATTTAGTTTTTCAGTTGTTTTGTAGGGGGCAGCACACAAGCAGGTAGCAACAGTCACTGTAGTAGCAACACTAATTTTGACATTTCATATTTACAAAAAAAAAGAAGACTGGAAGATAAGACAGCGTTTTGACTGAGCCTAACTTCTTTGGTAACAAAAATCTTGCTTGAGGGATAGTCATTCAAGGAAATTTCTGAAATTGAAAAAAGTTGATAAATAAAAGGAAAAATTAACTGAAAAACACAATGGTAAGTAATTTATTGATATATTTATCTATTTAATTCATCGGCAACGTTTTCCAATCTCAAAATTCTGTAAAAAGAGCCAAAATAAACCCAGGTGTGTCATGAGAGAAGCCCGGTTGCACGTGCCTCCCAAAATATTTCGGAATAGTAAATTCTAGAGCCTTTTGTCTTTTAAACATTTAAATTTCCTAAAATCATAATTCTCTATAATTAGTTTGTAAAGCCGTAAACCCATAATCGCTTTATTTTAATTTTCAATGACTACCTATCTGCTTCCTATTTTTTTGCAATAATTAAAATAATTACTGGCATAATTACAAGGTAGGCCTTCCCGTGGGCCCCCTTTATAGGCATGACACATTTCCCAATATACCAAACACTCGACTTTAGCAGATAGAATGGCTTTTTGCGAAGACTGTAGTACATATTTGCAATCAATCAATCATTTTATATATATTTTATAATTAGATGCGAACGCGAAGCTTAATTAACACTCTACCAGATATCATGATTTTATGAATTAAATTAAGCCCTGAAAACAGAAAAACCATCACAGCAAACTTAATTAGTAAAATAAACAAGCAAAGTTAACTACTGGGATTTTCAATTTTCCCTAATTTGTGTTCCAAGTCTGTATCATTCACCAGTTGAAAAATGTACACACATTACCAAACACTGCAACAAGAATAGACTTAAAAGAACCCTCGAATAAGGTTCACTCAACCCTCAGCCAAAAGCCACAGATCACTTGTTTATCACCGAGTTTATTACAATTAACATGAAGCAAGAGAACACAAAAACTAGTGAGATGAGTTTGGTTGGTTTAATTCAATTAATCTCATTCAAACATATTGAATTACAAACAGACATAATTATCATCCCCACTGTTAACAGCAAAATCCCCTCAGATGGAAACTCCAATTTGTTAAGCAGAATCCAAGAACTAGAAATCATGAATACTGACCTTCATGGAAAAATACAAAAAAATGTATTAACAATAAACAAACTGTATGCTGACCTACTGAATCTGAGGGAGGTGAAAGACAATATCAAAATCAAATCAAATCAAAATATGCTTTATTGTATTAAAAGACATAGTCTCATTTACAAAGCGCAAATATAATAGATGCTTATAACTACACCATTTCCAAATCCAAGCGGCAGTAAATGACATATAAGTACTTATTCTCTAATTTTTAACGATCACGTTAAATAATGAAAATTGGTAGATAACGGTCGAACCTATTCTGTAACATTGTTTGTAATGATTGATCGTTACGAATTAGTTATTTAACAATGACTACGAACGATTGTCATTACTAAACGATTTGCCCTATTCTGTATCACCTTACGATTGTTATTTAACTATTCATAATCTATAAATTTGATCATTATCTAGAATAACCCAAGTCCATACTGACCAACCTAACAGCATAGCAAGCTGAGGTCAGTTTTTCATTAGGAGCATTGACATGTACTGAAAATTTTAATTGCTTGTCAATTTGTAAACCTTAAAATTTTACATCACATCTATTTTACAGAATGCTGTTTTCCAAAGGTATATTTCCTAAATCATATTTGAAAAACAAAATATTAGTTTGGCCTGTTCAAAGATAGACAATTTCAAAATCAAAAATCAAAATAGTTTATTGGTGTTATAAATACAATTGTACCTTACACAAGTCATGTAAATAAATCTTACATTTATCATAAAAATTACAAAAATTACAAAAATTATGCTGAGCACTATACATATTATTTAGAAGAAAAACAGACCGATAAATGCTAAAATTACAGTGACTAATACAAAGTTAAAATAGACAATTAAAATAAAATAAAATGAAAACAACTATTACAGGTAAAACTCCATTAAAAAAGACAAAACTGCATTTAAAAAGACAAAACCTATACATATAACAACAAACCTATTACACATTAAAATTAAAATTCATGACTTAAAAACTCTGTATAACTATAAAATCCTTGACTACACAGGAAGCCTTTAATTTTTTGCTTGAACTGTTCCTCTGGTAGGCTCTTGAAAGAACCAGGCAACTTGTTGAAAAAATGGATTGAGAAACAGCTAGGACCACTCCTGCACCTCTCAAGCCGATGGTAATTTGGTACCAAACAATGTCTGTTACGAGTGTCATAATTATGGATGTCAACATGAGACCGATAACCATTCAGGTTACTACTCAAGTACACAAGGCACTCATATATGAATAGACACGGAACAGTAAGAATATTGTTATCTATAAAAGCCTGCCTACAATCTTCTCTATAAGACAACCCTGCCAATATCCGAACCGCTCTCCTCTGAAGCCTAAAAACTCTTGTGCTTGTGGCTCCTGCACTGTGACCCCATGCAATGATAGCATAAGAAATATGGCTATGCACCAATGAATAATATCCTTGCTTAAGCACGGAATGCGACACGGAGCCAGTTAGACCACGCAGCAAAAATACATTTGAAGCGAGTCTAGAGCACAGGGCATCAGTATGGGCGTCCCAGCGCAGCCCGGGGTCCAAATGGACACCCAAGAACTTAACACTGGAAGCTTCATTCACATTAGGCAGTGCACGGTTGGAAAAGACGAGTGCTTGGGTCTTAGAGGCATTGAGAAATAAGCGGTTGGTGGAAAACCATCCTTCAGCTCTAGAAAGTGCAGCACGAGTGCGCTCCATAACTTGATCCAGCTCGTTTTCATAGCAGGCAATTGTGGTGTCATCAGCAAAAAGGGTGTAATGAGCATCTAAATCTATTTGTGGAAGATCATTTATGTATAATAAAAATAAAAGAGGACCCAGGACAGAACCCTGGGGCACTCCGATTTGTACATCCCTTTCATCTGACTTCACCCCAGCAACCTGCACCACTTGGCGTCGTCCAGACAAGTAACTTCTGATTAGGGAGATGCTGGATTGATCAAAGTTGTATTTTTGAAGCTTGGCCAGAAGTATTTCATGCTCCACACAATCAAACGCTTTACTCAAGTCACAAAAGCTGCCTGCCAGATACCCTCGCCCCTCAAAGGCCCCGTGTATAGCTGATACCAGATCCAGCACTCCAAGAGCTGTACTTCGTCCCCTTCGGAAGCCAAACTGTTGCTTGTAAAAAAGTTCATTAGATTCCAAAAATTTACTAATACTCAAAGACATGCATTTTTCGAATATTTTTGAAAAAATAGGCAGCAATGAGATAGGTCTGGAATTTGATACATCATTGGCGTCACCTTTTTTGAAAACTGGGATTACTACTGCTTGTTTCAAAATATCAGGGAAAGTGTTTTCGTTGATACTGAAGTTAATGAGCTTTGTGAGAGGAGAGATTATTAGATTTCTGATGCCTTTCACCAATTCAACAGAAAGTCCAAAGGGATCTTTACTTTTTTTATTTTTGAGTTGATTAATAACATCCCGAATTTCAACAAAACTAAAATGACCCAAAGTGAATGGATGATGAGAAAAAGTAGGAATATTTTCTGTAGGGTCAGCTAAAGCCTGGTTAACTTGGCTCTGTAAGTTCAAGGCAATATCCGCAGAAAAGTTGTTAAAGTCGTTGGGAGAAATGGTACAGGTGGTTTCCTTTTTCTTTTGAACACCCCTCGCTTCATTTATAATTTGCCACATGGCTTTGCTAGGATTAGGAGAATTTAGGATTAATCGGTCATTAGAAGCTTTTTTGGCCGATTTTATTGCTTTTTTATAGAATTTCCTGTGTGACTTGAAAAGATTTGTCAGTTCAATGCCTGTGTTATTAGTGTGTAATTCTCTCAAAAACTGCAAAGTGTCACGCATCTGTCGAAGATCCTCATTAAACCAATTTGTAGTGTGGCTTTGGTTCATACGTTTAAGATGTTGTTTAACTGGAAATGAAGTATCGAATGCCAAAGAAATATGATGAATAAATAGTGCAAATTTTTTATTCGCGGAAAGATCCATTCTATCAACAAAATCCCAAGAAATTTGATCAACACACATGTAAAAAAGAATTTGCATCACACCACTGCTTAATTTTTGTTATTTCTCTCAACATTAGATTGTTGAGCCGATCTGGGCACTGATCGAGCCATAAAATCGTGGCATCATCCGCAAACAAAGTGAGGTGACCAGTAATATCAAAATTTTCTAAATAATTGATGTATAAAAGAAAAAGGAGTGGTCCCAAAACCCTGGGGCACACCATAGGAATTTACAAGCAGCTCGGAATCGCTTCCCTGCCATTTAACCAGCTGACTTCTGTCAGATCAATACGATGCAAGCCACCCCAAAGCAAGCCCCCGAAATCCATAACATTGAAGCTTTCGCAGCAGTATTTCCCGATTCACACAATCAAAGGCCTTTGAGAAATCGCAAAACAGAGCTCCAGCCAAATCGCCGTCATTTAAACCCAGGTACAGCTGCTCCAAAACATTGCATCCTTTGTATCCATCGAATTTTGGAATCCAAACTGGCCATCCTTCAACAATTTATGTCTGTCAATAAATGACATCATTCTCTTCTCAACTAGTTTTTCAATTATCTTTGAAAGTGTAGGCAGTATGAATATAGGACGGTAACATTACCCCTCAATTGATTCACTATTTCCCAGTTTTTTTTTGTTTTGTTCTTTGCACCTTAAATCCTCCATTTATGATAAAGCTCTTTTGCCACCATAATTAGTTTCCTATAAATTCATTTATAATGATCAAAATATGCGACAAAAAACTGATTGTTACTGTGGTACTTTCTTATAGAATGCAAGGATCTTAAATTTTTTGCTGAGGTTTTTATACCACAGGTAATCGAAGGTTTTTCATATCTTTAACTTTAAGATATTGTAGAGCAGCATGAAACTGTTCCACTGGATTCTCCGCATTCAGAACACCATTCCATAATATCCTGCTACAATTTAAAGTCAAAGTCAAATAATGCTTTATTGTCTAAGAACAAAATTCTCGTTGACAAAGCTGTAAAAGGGGGAAAAAAAGTATACAAAAATAATTCCAGGGCCATAGAGTACCAAGATTAAAATAATTAAAATAAAAATACAATACACGGTCAGACTAAAACAATAAAATCATTTAAACAGTCATTAAAACAAAAGATGAAGTCACTTTACTTTACTTTTTACTTTAAACTTATTATAGTATTGTTTACTGAAAATTCGACCCTGTCTAGTTTTTTGAAATTTTGCACCAGAATCTGCAGAACAAGTAAACACAAGAGCCTCGTGATTAGACAATCCAGAAGCAATGGTGCTGCAGTCTGAGATTCTGTTATCTTCAATGTTTGAGCAAAAATTGTCTTCCATAGTGGCAGACAACGTGTAATCCGAGTGGGTGTACAGACATGCATTTTAAGGTTTAGCGACTTCTTTACTTTACTTCTTTATTGTCTGAAATTACATGAATTTATTGACAAAGCGATCTCGTTACACCTGATAAATTACCTAATAATATCAATACATATCACATATTACATAAAAAGAAAGACAAATAATCTACAATAAAAGGCAGGAAAGAACAGGACGGGCTAAAATACATATCCTAAGTAAATATAAAATACAATGCAGTACAAACAAAAACAAAAAAAAATAGTGTATAGAAAACTAATAAGCAACAAAAAAATGAAAAAATTTGAGACTACCAAGCTTACAAGATCACAAAAGCAAAAACCACAACATTCAAAAATCATCATTATAAAATTTGTCCAAGCTGTAATATGCCCTTTCAAGCAAAATACTCTTCACCCTACTGCGGAAATGAAAATAATGCAATTGTCTACACTTGACACTCTAGTGTTTATACATTTTGAGACTTTCATAAATTATTGATCGTTTGGTCAAAGTGCAAAAGGCAATTGAGAGACTGTGTGGCCAAAGATCCCACATCAGTAAAGTTTATGTTAAGATCACCCGCTAGAATAATGTTGGAACAAACAGGCAATCCAGACAAAAGCATTTCAAGACGATCGATACATACCTCGATTAACATCACAGCTTGGAGATTTATAGATACACACTACCTTGCACACTACACTCGACACTACATATAGATTAAAAGACAACTAAAATTATTGAGAATTCAAACTCCCTTTCAACCATCAAATTATTTAACCATCCACATTCACAATTAAAAATTTATCACAGACTCTTTTGTGTACAAGAATTATAGTTCCCCCATGTAAAATTTGTTTTTCTACGAGCGTGCGGAAAAGTACACATGTGAAAGATAGATAATAAGTTAAAAAGGTAGTGGCTTGAATTTCCCCAGATGACTTTTCCATATTTTACAACTCTAAAATGGTAGATTTGTAAGGCTTAGACACACTTGTGTATTTTGGAAGGAAAACATTTTGTTTTATTATAAATAAACCTTTCTAAAAATCATATCTTTTTCCAAAAGGTTTCCCTTAATCCAGTTAGAGTACTAAATCAAAATGCCGAAGAATTTTGGAATGAAAACATTTTGTTTTATTATAAATAAACCTTTCTAAAAATCATTTCTTTTTCCAAAAGGTTTCCCTCAATCCAGTTAGAGTACTAAATCAAAATGCCGAAGAAGAAAGGGCAGAGATTGCTCGTATGAGCAGTTTTATAGGAGCCATCGCCATTGGTGATTTGGTCAAGAGCACTCTAGGACCAAAAGGTAACATCTCAATAATTCATATCCTCGAAAATCTTAATTATTTTTTCTCAAACTCAGGTATGGACAAAATCTTGGTATCAAGTGGCCGAAACGCTGGTTCCGTAGAAGTCACAAACGACGGCGCCACCATCCTCAAATCAGTAGGAATTGATAACCCAGCCGCTAAAGTCCTTGTAGACATGTCCAAAGTGCAAGACGATGAGGTTGGAGATGGCACAACTTCTGTAACAGTTTTGGCAGCGGAACTGTTGAGAGAAGCTGAAAAGCTTGTCGATCAAAAACTTCATCCTCAAATCATTATTGCAGGATGGAGGAAGGCTTCTGATATTGCCAGAAAGGCTTTGGAAGACGCTTCAGAGGATAACAGTGCTAGTTCAGAGAAATTCCGCGAGGATTTGATGAATATTGCTCGTACAACTTTGAGCTCGAAAATTCTTTCCCAACACAAAGAGCATTTTGCTAACTTGGCAGTGGATGCTATTCTTAGATTAAAAGGATCTGGCAACTTACAAGCTGTTCAAATTATTAAAAAGTCTGGCGGTACTTTAGAAGAATCGTTTTTGGAAGAAGGCTTCCTCTTGGACAAAAAACCAGGTGTTCATCAACCAAAAAGAGTAGAGAATGCTAAAATTTTAATTGCAAATACACCTATGGATACTGATAAGATTAAAGTGTTTGGCTCGACAATTAAGGTTGACTCTATGGCCAAAATTGCAGAACTAGAATTAGCAGAAAAGGAGAAAATGAAAGACAAAGTAAATAAGATTCTCAAACACAACGCTAACGTTTTTATCAATCGTCAATTGATTTACAATTACCCAGAACAATTGTTTGCTGATGCTGGCGTTATGGCAATTGAACATGCTGATTTTGATGGCATTGAAAGGTAATAATTTTATTCGGTTTTTACATGGTTTGTTATTGATTTTTTTTTTCAGATTAGCATTAGTTACTGGTGGTGAAATAGTCTCCACTTTTGATCAACCAGAATCTGTAAAATTAGGAACTTGTGATCTCATTGAACAAATCATGATCGGTGAAGACATTTTGTTGAGATTTAGTGGTGTTGCCTTGGGAGAGGCTTGCTCTATAGTTATTCGTGGTGCAACGCATCAAATTATTGAAGAAGCTGACAGATCTCTCCATGATGCTTTATGTGTCTTGGCCGCCACAGTTAAAGAACATCGTGTAGTGTATGGAGGAGGTTGCAGTGAAACTTTAATGGCTGTTGCTGTTAGTAAAGCTGCTTTGAATACGCCCGGGAAAGAAGCTGTTGCTATGGAAGCTTTTGCCAGGTAAATACAGTTTTTTTTTAGTTGATCAAGTGCTTATACGTACTTTTTTAGAGCTCTTCTACAACTGCCAACGATTATTGCTGACAATGCTGGTTACGATTCTGCGCAGCTTGTAGCGGAATTAAGAGCATCCCACAACAATGGTAAGACATCTTGTTGATAAATTATTTTAAAATTTTATAGTATGAAAAAAATATTTTAGGTAATTCCTTTGATGGTCTAAATATGGAAAAAGGCGAAATTGGTGATATGCGTGCCCTAGGCATCACAGAATCGTTTGCAGTCAAAAGGCAGGTGCTTCTTTCAGCATCAGAAGCAGCTGAAATGATTCTTCGTGTAGACAATATTATTCGTGCTGCCCCAAGAAGGAGAGTCGAAGATAGAGGTCACTGTTAATTTTAGTTTTGTTTTTTGTCCACTCACAGTAAGTTTATGGAGCTGCAATTTAGTTCAATTAATCTTCGATACAATTACTTAACAATGTAACTACTGAAATAAACAAAATTGTAGCTTTATGAATTTTTCAATTATTATGGGCCAGGACAGGCAACCTCCTATCACCATTAAAACTTACAGATAAGTTAATTTTGTATGGAAGTATGTATGTCATCTTGTCTCTGTATCTAGAGAAAGTTGTTTTATATTTTTTGAAATATTTTTTTCCTTTGCATTTTTGTTCTATTGTGCTTTATTGGTTGCCTGTGAGCTGCACATTTTTAATTTTTGCATAGCATTCATATATTTTTTACTATAAACCCCACATGTTTTTGTATTAACGGCAGTACTATTTATATATGAATAAAAAATAACCCAAAAATAGTTATTATTCTTATTTTTCCTTCATTGGTTCTTGGTGTTGAAAAGTTTATTAGCAATAATATAATTCCCCACACCCAGTATATTGAAGTCTTGTTGGTTTCAAATGAAACTCTCCAAAACAGTCAACGATTCAGAGAAATCCTGAAAAATTCCAATAGGGAATAATCATATTTTTCAAAGTATTTTTTTTCTTATTGCTTATGTTTTCAAATATAAAATGTATATGTTTTTTTTTTGTTTTATGTCCTCATTGAAATAAAAAAATTATTTTGAATTTCAAATTATTTTCGTTGGCGCAAAAACGATTAGCTTCAACATGGTGGCATTTGTGACGTCAACTGTCTGTAAACACAACGTTAAGGTCTGTTCTCACAAGAGCCTTTGATACTTTGCAAACTGTCGGAAAGAATCGCTTAGCTTGAACCTTCGACTGCAGTGAAACTTGAAAGCGGTTATTTATGCGGTATTTCCATATTTAGTGCCATATTGTGACATTTTGTGTTTCAAATAGTTCATCATGGTTGATACAGGATTTACAAAAGCGCAGTCTGACAATCTTCCCTCTATAGACCCGTTTATGGTGGTTCAATATCAGTCGTGGCGTGACGTGAGCTGATCGTGGACCAATCGTTCCACGATTCAAGAGTGAACCACGAAAGTGTGGACCGTGGAATTTCGATCAGTGTAAACTACCCTTAACCTTAAATTACGAACAGTTGGCGTCACTGGAAGCGGCCATGTTGAACGTAACTTTTTTGCGCGAAACTTTTCAATTTAAAACTAATAATTGCCATATGACTATAATGTCCATAAATTTAATACAAAACTGCTCATATTCAATATTTTACACAAAAATGTGCACCATAAAAACAAAATAAGCCATATTTATTTCTTATGAAAATTCCCTATTCTCAATGATTTTTTGAGGAAAAATAGGGAATCATTTTGTAAGCCAATGCATTTCCTGATTAGAGGGTGGTCCATTTTTGATATCTCAGACCATATTGGGAACCATCTCATTTACCTGATATGGACAGAATTCACCAATTAGTATCTAAATCTATTAGGATATTATTGGATATTTCTATTTTTTTATTTTGTAAAATAATTTTTCTACGATCGTGGGCAACTTATTACTTTGCACACTCATTTGTGTGCGCAAACTTCAACTTTGCACACGGAAACTCTTCGTGCACTTATTTTCGAACAAACACAGCCAATAATTTTGACGATATTAACCTTTTTCCAACTCAAAAAGATGCAAATAGGAAACGGGTACCCAATTCAAGTTCAGAATGTATTACAAGGGGCAGGAGAAACGACAAAAGTGAGTCTCGCAACAATTGCAAGTATTAAAATTCCCATCTGATTGGTCAATACTACTTCAGAAACGCGTTTGTAAAATGCTAGTGAGAACATATCTTAAAATTCAATAGTAATTAACCACAAGTAGCTTTTTGTAGGTGATATTAACGACATAATCAATGAACATACGTTTTTTGCCACCAATATCACGTGACTTAAAAATGGTATTTATCGGACTTTACCATATTTATACTCGATTTTTCAATGTTTTGCGAGTTTCTTGATCATAGAAAAGTGATTTATATTCTGATATAGAACACTCACTTCTGTTGTAGTCGCCAAGTGACATTTCCGACAGTGCTGCCATAGCGGTGTAGTCATTGAACTAATATTTGGCGGGTCGTTTGAATTTCGGTTTTAAATTACTGGTTTGACATTTCAATTATTTCAAAATAAGGCAGGGCTTCAAAACTTCATAAACTAAAATTTTATACATTTTATTTTCACATATTTATGTGAGAATCACATGAATAAAATAATCTATAATCTATTCATAGATGATCTGGCGTATCTGACTCATGAGCTGAATGAAACACTTTCCAATCTGCTTTTTGAAAATGTTCATTTTTCCAGTTGAAAGGCTGTTATATTTGATCAAGTTATTTATAATTTCCTCGAGCATGTATGGAGTATCATACAGTGACACGATTTCTAGGTTGTTTATCTCCAACGAAACCTCGAACAAAACCAAAATTCCTGTTTCTGTGTTGTTTTTGATGTAGATTTCCCTGGTCTGTGGCTGCAATTCGCTTTTGACCGATTTATTTTTTGCCGCCTGGTCACACACTGTGGCAACAACTCTTAAACTGGCTGCTTATGATGATGCACTTATCACTTCTTTCACAGTCTTGGAATTCAAAACAATCAACGACGATGCACTCAATAAATTAATTCAGATGACAAGATGACATTTGCATTATGATGTTAAATGGACACCTGCATTTTTACGACTGGTTTTTATATACATGATTCACACTAAACAAAGATAGGTAACTCATTAGTGAAGTCAGTAGAGATTAGAATGAAAACGAGGGGGACGTTGAGAAACGGCGATATGGGCGCACATCGGTGTAGTCACGAACTAAAACAAAAAGTGGAGGGGATGAATCCAGTGAATGTTCTATTTAAGAATTTATAAATCACTTTTCTATGTTCTTGATAAACTTATGTTCAGAAAGAAGGGCCTGATGTTATTTTTGTTCCAATAAAGGCATTCAGGTAATGTTTAGCTTTTTTATTTTGACACTCTGTATGAGGAGCGAGGGGAGGAAAAATTCAGCAGAAACAGATGTGACGTCAGGTGACCATTGACATGGAGAGCCACCAACTCACATTCCTTTGGAGTATCAGATTATAAAAGTTGGACTGTAAGTTATACAGAAAAAAAAAGCTTAACGACTTGTTCAAACTTTAAGTAAACCTCGTTAGCACAACTAATGTTGCAAATCAAGTCAAGCTGTGTCAAGTCAAACATTGAAAACACAACACATTGAACTAAGGAGAAAATTACCAATTTTGAGTATCTGGAAACATTTAAGAAGATTAGGTATACAGCTCATAAGCTCCTTGAAGTCCTTGAGGTTCCATCATACTATACGGAAACACTAAAACTTACAAGTTCGATATACTTTCTCCAGAAAACCGTTTAGTTCCTCTTTAAAATGTTCAATTAGATGCGGAAAACATTAAATATTCTTATGAATAAATAAATTTACTGAAATTCATACAGGAAAATATTTATCATTTAATTTACTAAGATTATTGATTTTATGTTTTTTTTTTTAAGTTGAAAAAGTTTCTAAAATCAAATCACCTTTTTTCCTTACGAGACCCAGAAAAAAATTACTTTACTATTGATTCATTTTTTATTTATGTGTCATTATCGAAAAACAGAGCGATAGTGATATTAAACTGATAAGAATTGATAATATTCATTGATCTGTGTCAAAGGTTGAGAAGAGGATCGTCTGTTATAATTTTTATTCTATTTAGGCGGAGAGAATCATTTGGTACAGATTGATGAATCGGTAATTTCTGAAAGAAAATATAACACTGAAAAAACGGAATATATTCAATATGTCAAAAATCGATCCGCTGCGATTCTTTTGCCGATTATAACGAAACATGTAAGGGTCGATAGTGAAATATGGACAGGCAATTGACGCGCTTATTCTGGATTGGTAGACTATGGTTACGTCCACCGAACAGTACAGTAAACCATACCAAATATTTCAAAGATCCCATTACAGAGGTCTGTACCAACCAGGTGGAAGGGTATTGGTCTGGCTTGAAAAAATATCTCAGAGCTATGGGTGTTATGCATTCAAAATATTTACCAAAATATATTGACCAATATATAGGTATGTGGAAGCAGATATATGGCAAAAATGCCATCCAACGAATGTATAACTTAACATTGCAAATTGGACAAAAATATTAAATGGTTTTTTATAGGATTATTAAGTTGATTAATTACATATTTTGTTCCCTAAGGAAGTTTGCTTTGTTTAGTTTTAGTGGTTCTTAATTCAACTTTTCCTTTTTTATATTATAATGTATAGATACAAATGGTGAATGCAATTTATTAGTAAGAAATATAAATAAAACCTCTAAGAAACTATGACTATGGTTTTTTTTATGTTTATTATTATTTAAGCTCAGGAGATATCACACAATGTGGCAACGTTGATTGCACCTTGCATTTTTATTTCGTTTAATGTATTCGATTTATGAAATGGTCAATTTCCGTCAGTTTGAACTGAATTTTCTTGGAGAAAAATGAAAAAACCCGCATTTTTTTTTTCATAAAACTATTATTTGAGTTGTCTATTTTAATGTAAAAGCTTCAAAAATGTCAAATTCGTGTTTCAGGATAGTGTGATGGACCCGTCCTTGATGCAAATCTTAAACACTCGTAGAAAAATAACTATTGTCGCTCTACTAAATAATTGAATCGGTAGATTTATATCCTGCACTATACTTATCTCTCTCGCACTTTAGTATTTTGTTCAGTCTCTGAATTTCTCTGTAGGCTGGCTCAGTTCACTGACTGCAATATAGGCCTAAATTATACAGGGTGCGCATGCGTTTTTAAAAATCACTTTCTCCAGTTGAAACGTTCTCACAAAAACGTCAATAATAAACATTTTAATTTTTATTATTTTCCTGAGTGAGTGCATTATAAAATATTGAAAGGATCTCGGAAGAACCTCTAGAAGAATGTGCTGAAACCATTCTATGTGCCAGAAATTAAATTTAACAGGTAAAAAAATTTGATTTTCTTTGATGGCCCCCATCTTGTCTATTTTTCCCTAAAATAATAACTGGAACTGGATAGTTGATTGAATGCAACTGCAAGGGAGACAAAGAACGATAAATTAGGCTGATTTAAATCCCATTTGTTTATTTTACTTAAAACTGTTTATGTATTCTTACTGCATGCTTTTCAACTCTTTTGATGACAGCAGACAAAGAGGTGAATGTCTGGGAATTGTGCATAATATAGGGATTATTTTATGTTTATTCCCTTGTTAATTTATCTACTAGGAAACGTGAGTAATTTTATTTCTAAGCAACACTTTGTTCTCATACAGGTTTTATAATTCTCAATTTTTGAAGTCTGACGCTGTCGGAACAATGTTTTCTCTTCTTTATCAAAATTACCATATTGGCTTATCTTTATTTTGTTTCCTATCAGAACCAGCTTGGAATCGTTTGGTAATAACCAAAGTCCTAAAACAGGCATAACAACTAATATTCTATTCACAACAGCCTACTAAAACTGAAGCCATTTCTCACGAATTTTCAATATAACATAAATCACCCAAGAAGATATTAATGTAGAAATTTACATATTCACAATCAGGTTATCAGCAAAAGACTTCCTGTCTGATTTTTATGTGGGTGCAATGAATTCAACATGACTATAAAATATTCACATTAAAAAAGAATAAATTAGATAAGATAAGGAACTTATGATGAAAGATTTCTTTTCCTAGAATTTTGATTAAAAAATTAAAAGGTACTTAGATATTCTTTTTTATTAAGCAACATAGGAAATTATGTAAAGTTTGTTTTTTATTTAGGGCCGAATTTATAGTCGCTCCTTGAGGTTTCCTCAGACCTTAAGGGAGCCTTGAACGTTTAGAATTGACTTGACTAACTTGTCAAATAGTAGCAAGTGTCCATTCTAAACTCACGACCTCCAAGGAAGACTCAAGGAGCGACTATAAATTTGGCCCTTAAAGATAATTCCCCAAGTCAAAAATTTAGTAAAGTGCGTGTTTTTTTTTTAAAGATAAAAGTCAAACTGACATTAGGTTGGCAATACAATGTAAAATTGTCAATGTTATCAAATTTTTCATGTAGTAAAGGCTTGTGTTGCCAACATAGTTACTAAATTTTTGACTTGGGGAATTATCTTTAAAAAAAAACAGATTTTAACTATCCCTGCGTTTTTATTCTCATCAAATTTTACTGATGGATCCACCATTCTAGGTCAGTCATTGTCATTTTCCATTCACTAAACAAAGATAGCTAACTCATCGGTGAGTCCACCGATGAGAATAAAAACGCACATTAGGTTCGTTCCAACCCAGCCAAAAACCGTACAATGTACGGTCACGGTCATGCGTCATAGGTTAAACGCGTTCCAACCGAGAGATGATTGTTTACCGTACAGTTTCGTTGGCGTTCCAACCAAACCTGGGATCGTTCGAGAACTGGTTTTAGCACCGTCATTTCGATCCCTAGTGGAAAGCAAGAACTGCGTGGACTGATTCATGACTGACATGCGTAATTCAATTTTTGTCACCTGTTTTTGTTGTTCATGTTGTTAAACAACCAATTTCCAATCTAACTTATAAAACTGTAGCATTTTTATTTTTTCAAGTGAAAAAAAGTACAAAATTTATTATCAGCTATTTGCTAATCCTTGATGTTATCAGCTTGCAAGGATTCAGTTTTAGATTCTTGATAATGAATCAGCGTTGGTGTTCGATTTTCCTTTTTTATATATTATTTTGTAATCCTAATCCTATATTCTTCTATTTTAATTTGCAAACAAACAAATTTAGGGTTAAAGTTATTTGAACTGTCGTCATTACGAAAACGATCATGAAACCGTTCCAACTACCCGTTGTTTCTGTACCAAGATAAAACCGTGCAACGCATGCGCCTGCAATCGATCCTAACAGTTCCGAAACCGTTTCATGACGATACGAAAACGGGAGGTTGGAACGAACCTATTTTATGTTGGCAACACAAGCCTTTTCTACATAAAAAATTTGAAAGCATTGACAATTTTACATTGTATTGCCAACATAATGTCATTTTGACTTTTATCTTTTAAAAAAAACACACTTTATATCTGTTTTAGTCATAAAATAAAATAATGCTTTAAAAAAAGGCCTTTCTCATTTCCCTTACTGATATAATATTTTCTAACACCTTGCTTCTTATGACAAAAACCGATAATTATATTTATTATTATCATTTGATAGGGGATTTTAACATACCCAATATCGAAGCCAGTGGCTGTGATAAATCTTTTGCTTTACATAATTTTATTTGTATAAATAACTTGTGTCAGGTCAGTATAATAAAATCCTAAATATTAAGAATAAAAAACTTAATTTGTATTATCCAATATATTTATTTATTTATTTATTCAATGAGATATCAACAGCAAATTGCCAATTACAGATACCTGTATGCTTAAAATTAATCTTATAGAAAATATATTAAACAGATAGTCTAAATACAAATGTCAAAATACATACTACCTAACAAAAATTGGTTCTAAGAAAAAGACAAATAATTTAAGCTACGGATAGATAAAATCGGATAACATGATAAAATAAAGACATTATAACTATTAAATATAAAATATAAAATATATGATGCGGTAAGTACAAACAGGTATACAGACCACAGATTACAGCAAATTTAAAATAGAAAAACTAATAAAATTAACTATTAATAAAATTTATACTACGATCCGGCAACTACCCAAAATTAACTCTGGCGCAATTTTTTGTCAATTAAGTTTTTAAATGTTTTAAAGTTTATCAGGTCTATGTCTATGTCAGATGCATACAAATTAAAAAGATTGCAAAGACCATAAATGGGGGAGCTTTTAAATAGGTTGGTTCGTGGAAAAGCTAGGTAGAAGATATTTGTGGTTCTAGAATTACAACGATTTACAGAAAATGGTAATTGTTCAAGGATATCGGGGCAGTCGATGTCACCCTTCAGAATTTTAAACATAGTACATAAGAAAATCTTCACACTTCTCTTACCCAAAGATAGTCTATTGAAAACTCCTAAGAGGAAGCCATTATCACAACCCCTCTGAGGGTAGACTCCAAACTTTCTGTAATACATAGTCTTTAAAAAATTTCTTTGCACTCCCTCAATAATATTTATCCATACGTTATATTGGGGCGACCATATCAAGCACCCATACTCCAAGATAGGCAACACCAGACTATCAAATAAATGAAGGCTTACATCAACCCTAAAAGTCTTAGTATTGCGTGCTATAAAACCTGCTATCCTCTGTGCGCTCTGTATCTTTGTTATAATGTGTTCAGAGAATGAAAGACTGCTGTCAAAAATGACTCCCAAGTCCTTCTGCTTACTAACTTTATCAAGTTTTTCGCCACTCATAGTATAATTAAAATCTATTGGTTCCTTATTAAGTGTAAAAGACATACAAGCACACTTGCTTGAATTTAACTTAAAACTATTTTCTTGACACCAATTAACAACATTAGAAAATTCGTTTTGTAACAATTCACAATCAATAGAAGAAATAATCTCCAAAAAAAGTTTAAAATCATCGGCAAACAAAAGAGCCATACTGCCCTTAACATTGCTGAGAATGCTGTTTATAGCAATTATAAAAAGTAATGGTCCCAAATTAGATCCCTGGGGTACTCCCGACGTACTCTGGTATAGAACAGACTTACAGCCTTTAATCTCAACATATTGAAATCTGCCAGTTAAGTATGAACTTGTAAGTTTAATTAAAAATGGAGAAACTTCCATGTCAGACAAGGCATTTATTATCCCACAGTGACTAACTCTATCAAATGCCTTCTCCATGTCTGTATAAATTACGTCAACTTGAGTTTTATTGTTAAAGGCATTATGGATATATTGTGAAAAACATGCCAGATTTGTAAATAATAATGTAATAATAATGTAATGTAATTATCCAATAGCAAGCGGTGTACCGATGAAGCTATTGTCTCTTTAAAATTTGTTATTGTTTACATTTTCCTTTAATTATGCGCCATAATGGATCATTCTTGCTGCACTCTGTCTTAATTCTTTGTCTAAACGATTTTTAAATTAATTAAATGTTGACTTCTTTGGCAAAAAACCATGCTGATTGGGGGAAAGTTTTGCTGCAACTTCGTTATATAAAATCTCAAAAATTATGACCTCAAATATTTTAGATACAGCGCACACAATAGATATAGGGCGGTAGTTTCTAATGTCTTGCCTTATGCCATTCTTATAAATTGGTATGACCTTGGCTACCTTCCATTTATCAGGATATATTGAGGTTTTGATGACCAAATTAAATAAAAACTGAAGGGGGCTCAATAAATGCTCAGCACAACCTTTAAAAATATAGGCCGGAACACCATCAGGTCCGATTGCCTTGTTAGGTTTAATTTTCTTCAAGGCATTTTCAATGTCCGCCTTTGTAATTAATTTTTCACAAAAATGAGACTGCACTTTAGTTGAGCCACAATTGACTTGTCCAATATCCACATAAACTGACTTAAAAAAGCCAGCAAACCCATCTGCCACGTTCTGAGTGCCTGAGTAAATATTGTTATCTAAATTCATTTCATTAAGTAAGTCAGGACTATCCTTTAAACCCTTTAAGTATGACCAAAAGTATTTAGGATTGGAGACTAAGCTATTTTCAACATCAATCAAATATTTTTCGTGGGCTAATTGAATTTTATTTTTAATTGTTGTTCTTAAGTTAGTATATTTAGTTTTCCAATAAAGAGATTTAGTTTTGTTTGATTTTATTCAACATTTATGTTTTTCTTTTAGTAATTTTATTATTTCAATATTGAACCATATTGGATACTTTTTGTCACCTTGTGTTGATTTTGGAACACATTTTACAAAAATGCTCTCCAAAGTTCTATAAAAAGTTTCCAAAGCCCTATTAACATCTTTAATACCATAAAGGAAATCCCAGTCCTGATTTCGAAAAAGATTGTACATACTATA